TCGAGGACAAACTTAGAAATCATTTTTTAAAGTGGAGTTACTTATATTTATGTTTAGTAAAATAAACCATAAAATGTTATTTAGCTATCAGTTATTTTAAAATGATTAAAATGAATAGTTAACAATATTGACATGAAATTTTTAAGTGTGGTTTAGGGCTGGGGAGAAACTAGGTTTTGACAACTGGAATATGTCAGATTTGCCAGGTTCAAGTCTGGAAATCATATACTTACAAACACACACACGCGCAGTTACAAATCACACACCCACAACAAATTTAAGTTGCAATTGTTCCAATCAGTCATGAATAGATTTATTGAATACATAAAATAAATGCAAGACCAGATTCTTCAGTTGTCAAAAGAGATGAACTCAGAATGGCGAGTTCCACTTTTGGAAAATTTAAAATTTAAATCTTCAAACATTCCTATATTATAATGAAAAAATAAAAAAATTGAAAATATTTTCAAAGAATTGCAAAAGTTTTTATTCAAAAGATATGACAACAAAGAGTTTCTGATAAACAATTCAAATTTCAATTTATATTTAAAACGACATGTGCTGGTGCTCGTATATAAAGTTATAAAAAGTTTGTTGAGTCATCACATTGTTACAAGTCAATGGGTGCTTGGACCAAATAAATGCTGACACTATGCCATGCCAGTAACTTATTTCAATTAAATCTTGATCCGTCTTAAAAACTTTGATATTTTCTAAAAACAAAAATAAGAATTGTACGTATAAGTTAGCTAACAAAAATTTCATGCAGTGTGATTCGAATTTTTCGTCTTCAAATGATATTTGAAATCAAGGATTTTGAGTCTCCGTAAACAAGTGTGATGAAATATTTAAAAAAATTAGCTATTTAAATTTTAAACCATATGCCACGTTTATAAATTGTAATCACAAACATACAAGAATATGTTATGAAAAGTCAATCAATCAAACGCAAGTGTAGAGAATAAATATTGTTCAGTAAATTATTTACAAATTGTCATTCTCACTTACACATTTTCCTTGCAACGTAAAAAAGTTTGAAGTTTTGAAAAATAGTTTTACTTTGCTGATAAATTGTTAACTGGGTTGGATGTGAAAGGGTCTTTCGCTTTTTCATGCTTCCAAGCATATTTGCTGCAACCAGTTGCATATCGTTGTAATTATATTCACAATTATCAAAAAAGAATCTTGATTTTAAAACAACATCACTTTTATTTTAAAAAAATTAATTGCTGTTTTGTGCAACATTCAAATGAATGGTTGAAAATGACTCAGCCGACCTTAAATATTCTGATTATGCATTAAGATGTTGCGAAAAAATTGATTGATCAGGTAATTTTCAGCTGCAGTTGGTGCAAAAGATTCTCTCGTGCAAACTGACTTCACTTGTTATAAATTTAATACATTCAAATAAACGAGGTGCTTAAAATTATAGATGGACTTAAAATGGATAATTTTTTAAAATATGTCAGATGGACGCATTATTAGTATTGTTTATTCAAAGATTGATGCTATTTTCGCCTAATCCTTCTTAAGTCAACCTTTGAAATTTGAATTAAAAATTTAAAACAACATTTCGATTTAGTGTATTTGTTGAACAAAAGAATATCTTTCAAAAGAAACATGAAATTTTTTTAACGATAAACAAAAACAAAATTTGAGAAGGAGCGGACACAAAAATTAAAAAAAATTAATAATTAAAAATTAAATTGAAAAAGGAAGTTATACAAATGCTGCCAGACAGGAAATTATTTCAAAAAAAAATTTCATAAATTTTATAAAGTTAAATATCGTTACAGCGACATATTCGTACATTCTTTTTTAAGCAAAGATGTACGTGCACGAACGAATATACAGCAACATGCTCGCATATTATGAACAGCATACTTCATGGCAAGCGTTCATGTTCAAACACTTTGATGGCTCAACTCCTGAATTTTTGATTAAAAATGATTAAAAATGTGTGGGTGGTCATTATTTATTATTTCAACAAAATTTTCTAGCTGCGTTTTCTATTAAATTTTAATAAAATGTTCAGAAAAAAAATTAGTAGCTGATTTAAAATTTGATTTCATCTAGAAATTAGACAGTTCCTAGTAACACTCTAAATTCCGCAGAAAGTTCCTATTTATCTAGCTACCTCAGTATAGTGCACATTATTCTGAGTGTGCGTGCGTGTGCGTGCGTGCGTGCGTGTTTGTCTAATTATTATTAGTTGAGTGTTGATGTTTTCAAGTTGTATAATTAATTTTTATACAGTTTTAAATATTTCAAATAACGCAACTACTGCCATTCAATAATAACTCTCTACATTGATTAAGATTGCTCAATAATATTTTTTTGGTTTTGATGCTCATAACAATTGGAATTCATTTATCTATAATTGAAAGTTTTTGAGTGTTGACACTTAGATATCTCCACTTAGATACTTAACAAGCGTGCCATTTCATGCGCAAGATTCTGTCCGGTCATTTCATACAAGAATAATGAAGGCTTGGGGTTTTAATTTGTCGCAGATTGCGTTTGAACTAGGTTAGCACTTAATTTTTTTTTGTGAAACACAACGTTGATCTAAAAAAAACATGATGGCCAATTACCAAACCACATTTTTCTCAATGTTAATGCATTGCACTCATTATATTATTACACTGGATCACCTTAAATGTCTTTTGATGATAGAGTCTGTAGGGATCAAACATTCATTTATTAACTATCTTATGTATTAATTATTATTAAAGATTATTGCAATTTTTAATGTTACCTAATCTATGTTTTATTTTATGTCTTTGCTTCTCTCTCGACTTGTTTTATTTATTTTAACTCACAACAAGGTGTCTTGATAGTAGCAGAAGTTCGTACTAACAAGTCTCTTGGTAGATTGAGGCTCTTGTGCTTGTGACAGCGTTGAGACAACTAACTAGGTTCGTTTCTTTGTATATAATTAAAGCAATTTAAAAAAATTTGGGTAAAACTATTTTATCTATTTGTATGTTGAACTAGGAAACTATTTTTTATTCGTGTAATTTTATTTTAGATTTTATAGATTCTTTTTTAAATATTATTATTTTTATTAATTAAAAACAAGTGAAATGTTCATTTGGAAATATCTGACAAGTGTTCTATAAATTGTCCTACTGTTTTTGAACCAATTCTCATGTGACAAGCGTAGAACCTCCCTCTCAAACAAAAACTTCCAAATAACTTGTTCTAATTTGAACACGTAGCTCCTTAAATCGATTCCAGCATGATTTACAATTGTTTTCAACATGTGCCAATGGATGCAACCTATCAGAGAGAGAGAGATGTGAAATATGAGTCATCGTACAAAAATGCATCTGACAGCATGCATTTTACACACAATCCATCTTCATCAATCAGTCACAATCATCGTTTGCTCGTACACTACGGCTAACCATGAAATCATTGAAAATCTCCGTTTATAAACCTGCGCAGGTGCACTGTATATCCAGATATAAGGCGTTCCAGGTATTCTATTGCAATAGCGACATTAACGAGACTAACTCCATTATCACAAACATGCACTGTCTTTTCAAAATGTGAAAATTGACAGAAATTAGCAAATACAATTAGTTTCGTCAAATTTCCATACATATGTTTCAAATATGTTACAATTTTTTTTATATCAAGCAGAAGTTTGTTTGTCTGCTAATAAAACGACATCAAAGTCAACATTTTGAACACTCCTTAATGAGCATGTAATGTAAAATTTAATTTGATGATGCTGCTGCTGATGGACTGGACATTTATGGAGCTGTTCAATTGTTCATACATAAATGCTTAAAAACGTATCAGTTGAATATTGGAGACATTGCTCAACGTAAAAGTATGCACTTTACGTGGTTTATACTTAAAAATTAATTGATACAATCCATTACGACAGTTCGTGCCTGGTTAGAGTTCTGTGCAAAAAATGGTTGCAATTTTTAAAAGGATTAAACGTGAACCAATCATCATTCTCCATAGAGCAAAATAGTTTAAATAAATTCAAGTAATTAAAGTTGGTGTCGTATTCTTCATCTTTAATAACTCATTCTGCTAAAGAACTGAAAATGGTGTCTCCTACCAACATATATATATATATATATATATATATATATATATATATATATATATATATATATATATATGTATATATATATATATATGTATATATATATATATATGTATATATATATATTGAGAGTCGACTTGAATTTACAAGTACGTGAGTTTATAAAGAGTGAAAATTTTCGACTTTCTCTCGCACGTACGGTCGGTCAGTTCGAGTACATAAAGTGCACCATCTCTCATCCCGACCAAAACTGCGTTTCTGTGAACACCCAACTGGTTGAGCCTAAAACGATATATAATATACATATATTTCTATGTAATATATATAAATAACAAAATCTTGTTTGTGTATATACATATACACACACATATATACATTTAACATAGTCCTTGCTATATATGTATATATATATATATATAGGCAGTACATATAGGCACGCAACGTAGACGCACTCATGAACGTTTGGATGTTAGAAATAATTTGTTGGCAGAGTTTGAGGTACCACGTGACGATTCATTATTTCGTTTGATGGACGTTTAATTTTCAGATCACATACATCACTCATTTCAACTGTTGTAAAGGTTTAAATGTTGACATATTGAGTCCATTTGGTATGCAAATGTAACAAAAATATTACTTCACACCAAACAACATAGTGAACCAGACAGCCACATTCACTGTGTTCAAATTGTCAATATATAATGTAAAAAAATGCCGACAATATATTTTTCTTTTGAGGAAATGTAATTTATTTTTGTAGATAGAAAGGAGAGGCGTGCATATTGTTGCGAGGACATCTTCAAATATCACTGCCAGCTGTTTGCAAGTTCATTCGCACAACAACAAATTGCAACATAAAGCTCACAAAAATTTCAGTTGAATCCAACAAAATGAGAAATTATTTTTAAATTTTCGACAACTTTTAGCATGCATGAGCAGGGATAGTCAATTGAACTCCTCACTCAACTTAAACAACGGCGATCACATCAGCCACAGTAGCGATAATGAAAACATCCTCAACTGCTACGTTGACAACAACAACAGAAATGACGTTAACGTCAACATTTTCTACAACAACGAAGACGAGGACAACAACAACAACACCCAGCGCTCTGAAGATGCCTTCTATAAGAAACAAAATGAACCTCTCTTCTATCTCGACACCCCACCTTACTTCCAATATCATCAACTCTCAGCATCTCCTGAACAACAACAACAACAACAACAGCATCATCAACAACAACAAGTCAAAAATATAATTAACATTGAATGTTTCTCGTCATCATCAACAACGTCAACAGCAGCAACAGCATTAACTGGCATTCAACATTATCAGCATCGTTATCAAGAGGGCAGTGAACATCAAGGTCTGGATCATTATCATTGCAGTCACACTTCTCCGCAAATTCATCAACAACACACGATTGAGTTTCAAGAACTGCAAACACCAATCCACCATCTTTGTCATCGCCCACATCCACAGCAAAAACAACAGCAACAACAACAACAACAGCAACAACAACAACAACAGCAACAACAACAACAACAACAACAACAACGCAGACTGCAAACACAGCACCACAGAAAACAACATCAACAAAACCAAGAAGAACTTGAAGAAGTTGCTCGTCAGCAGCCAACGAAATTCAACTTGAACACCAAAGAAAGAAAAAAATCGAATTCACAAAAGCATTTTGAAGTGTCAAAAGAAATACATCAGCTTCATCAACGCCACTACCACCATCATCACCCGCAACCGTTGCAGCAGCAGCAACAACAACAGCAACCTCCCCATCATCGTCATCATCAACAACAAATCGTTCAAGAGTGTCCACGTACACACATTCACACACATCATCTGCAACAACATCAGCAGAAACAACACCTCGGAAAACAATCTTCTTTACAATCCACACATTTAAGTGAGCAAACAAGCCGGCAACATTCATTCAACCAAGAATTTATAACAGTTGAGCAACAAAAGCAACAGCAACCATCATTGCATCCGCATCGCAAGTCGTCTCCAGCACCACCGACGACTTCGACAACAAAGACGCCAACGACAAAAACAGCAGCAACAACCTCAGCAACAACAACCACGTCTGCTTCAGCTCCTACAACCACCTCCTTCAAACTGTCCTACGTTGACTTTCCACCGCGATGTGCCGGCGCAGGTAACATCATCTGCGCCCCAGAGTATGAAAGATTTGAGTTAGTTCCATTTGCATCATTCTTCAATTTTTAGCTTTGTAGCTTTGTTCTGTTTTTATTATTAAAGTATTGTTATTGTATTAAAAGAAGTTTACGTTGGACTAATTTTCGTTGAATTTTTTGCTCTTATTGGTGATAATAGTAAATAACAACTGAGTACTGAGACGTAAAGTAATGAATGATGATGTAATGCAGTATGTAATACAATGTAATGTAATGCAATTTTGATGTTTTCAGTTTTGTGTTTCAATCACTAAAATCAACCTCCACCAACCAGATTATTTTTTTAACTTTTTAACTTGGCTTTATTAATTAAATTATTGCGACATGATAGATTCGATTGCTACTGACCAAATGGAAGCGATGTTGTAATGCGTGCAATCCATCACTTTCTTCATGGACGTCCAAAAATCATATTGCACACAAATCTCGTTATTTTCACTTTTTTTAACATTTTCTATCCGATGTTATCTTTGTGAAAATGAATGTCAAGCAGCAACGCCATACGAAAAATTTTCTGACGTAACGTGTGCGAGAAGCATTTGCAACAAGCGTCGGGTCAGTTAAATAGATTTTGTTGTAAAATTGTTTCCATTGTACGTAAACTCTGTTTTCTTGCAATTTGCACGACTTGCAATTTATGTGACAGCCGGACTAACTGTGGCGGCTCTAGACAACGTTGTCGAGGGATGGGTCGAAATTTGACAAATTTTGGTGCGTTTTTCACTGAAAAACTTAGTTTTTTCCGTCTAAAAACTAGATTCGTCACCACTTTCGTCACCACTGCAGACTTATATGAATGGCAAACTGGCGGTGTTACTTTGGGTTTGATGAAATGAAAAAAACAACTCAGTTTGAACAAGTCATTTTATAAATAATCAATTAGTTCATTATTTCAAAATTTGAAAAAAATTGTTTTGGACCGTTATTTTATTTCAGTGGGAATAATTAATGTTAGCAGCATTATGAATTCTACAATTTGTTATTCATCTACGGCGTCTGTGATGAGGGAATATAAAAAATTGTTTTTGTTTTTGAATGTTTGAGGAGGAAGAAACATGGGAGGAAACATGGTAGGAAGATTATATAGAGATGAAAGCACAGAGAACTAATTGCACTCGGAGTCTCAATTGAAATATAAGACTTCCATTAATTAAAAGTCAAAATTATCTCTGTTGTTCTAGATAAAAATTTCATAGTAAATTTGTCTGATGAATTTTTGAAAAGACGAAAATTTATGGATAATGGATATAGTTTTAAATGTTTTTCAATTAAGAAATTTTAACATTTGAATAATTGAGTCGACAATCTATCTGATTTATTTTATTCCGTGCCAGTCTTTTTTACTTCATTAATATTTCTTTCTTTCTATCTTTCTTTCTCTCTTTATTCAAACAAAATTTATCTAAGCCGTTACCTGGCCAACAAAAGGGCTTTTATGAATAATGCATGTTTGTTATTGCTTGGTGTGGTGTTGTAGTGATAGTTTTTTAAGCAGATGTCATTCGGTTGATGTTGGAGCTGATGATGAGGGTGACGATGATGTTGCAGGTGATGATAATGACGATGACAGATAATGATATGCTGAAAATGATGATGATAATGTTTAAAAAGCAATCACGAAAGAATTATGTCGGAAAAAATTGTTTGATTCACAAATAATGCATTTGACATGATCTGTATTTATTGCTAAGTCTTGTTTGTTAAAATTAACAATAAAATATAAAAAATTCATTCAAAGAATATAAAAATATGATGCTGATGATGAAATAAGTTGGTTGCAATTTGAAGACACCGAACCCAGCCACATTTATTGTCATTCATCGGAAAATACCAGTACACATGGTGACCATTCCTCCGTCCAATTAAACTTGCATCGGTTTGTTTCAGAACGAACAGAGGACTGCCTGCAGAATTCAATCAAATAGAAAGAAATTTATTTTAAACATTGAAATGCTCGCCTGTTGCTTTATATTTCACGTGCAAATTCTCTGTGGCGGATTCCGAATTTCACGGAGGTGGTTGCTTTCCAAGAGTTGACGACGACGTTTTTAGGTTGACCCTTCATTATTAGCTCCCATTATTGGATTGGCTTCAACAACAATGATTTCTCTGATTGTAGTTTTTGGTTTGATGATGTTACAGAAACGTGCACCCCTTTCAATTTTTTCCAGATTCATCACTAATGAATATTATAAATATTATTTTATGACGTTAAAGTTTGTTAAAGCATGTGGCCAGTTCTCTAAAACTTTTTTCTTCCACGTCGGGTGGGGGAAGCATTCCCGCATTCTCCTTGGATCCACCACTGCATGTCCCCTGTACTTTTTGTTGGAAGTTTTTAAACATTTGTTTTTAGCGACAAATAAAATAGAAAATGCAATCGAAAAAGCGGAACATTCATTGTAATACTTTTATTCCGCAAATGATGTTGCAACAACAAAATTAAAATAGTGGTCCAACATTTTATATTACAAAAATTTCTTTTTATTTTTGTGAGAAAAGAAACTAAATAAAAAAAGAAATCAGAAAAAAATCAATAATAAGTAAGATTTTGTTTTTGGAGGAAGCTGTAGAAATTTTTCCTAAATTTCATCTATATAAAAATAAATAATTATTCATATATATATATATATATATATATATATATATATATATATATATATATATATATATATATATATATATATATATGTACAAAAGATATCACTCCTGGCTTTCCTTGATGTGGGTGCGGCGTTCGATTGTGTTGATCACAGAATTCTTTTAGATAAATTGCAATATGGTTTTGGTTTTCTGATGAAATGTTAGAATGGATGAAATCTTATTTGGTTGGTAGATCTCAACAGGTATCATTTGGAGGTAAGATGTCGGACGTCAGTGGGGTTGTCTTTGGTGTCCCGCAGGGGTCGGTTCTTGGCTCGCTGTTTTTTCTGCTCAATACGTCAAAGGTATTTAACGTAGTTGAATCATTTGGGTTGACAAGTCATGCTTTTGCGGAAAATATTCAAATAATAGTTAATAGTACAATAGATTCATTCATGTTGGTAATGAAAAGATTTGTAGAATGCTTGTCAGCTGTTGATTTATGGATGTCACAAAATGGCTTGAAATTAAACCGAAATAAAACTAAACTTTTGCTGGTGGGGACATGGCAGCAGTTGTCAAAATTAAAGATAAACTCAATCACAGTTGATAAAGAGACAGTTTTATTTTGTAACAATGCGACTAATGTGAGTGTGATTTTTGATTCAAATCTAACAATGAAGCAGCATACTAAGATGGTTTCAAGAGATTGCATGCATCAGAATAGAAGATTCAATAAAATTCGTGGTTCATTGAACGTCTCTACGCTTCAGACGCTGGTTCATGCATTTGTTCACTCGAGAGTTGATTACTGCAACAGTTTGTATTATGGTTTGCCGGACAAGTCCATCTGTGTATTGCAGTCTTTGCAAAATCGTGCGGCTAAGGTTGTGGTTGGAGGTCGATGGGATGATCATGTGACACCTATACTTAAAGATTTGCACTGGCTAACTGTTGATAAGAGAATAATTTACAAAATTTCTATTTTGATGTATAAGGTACTCACAGGTAGTGCTCCAAAGTAT